GAGAAGACCCCCGCCATCCTCTCCGCCCAACGAACGGAGCCCAAAGCTTTTGCGTACTCAACGTTTATTAAAAATAGTATGAAATGGTCCCTGGGAGGAGTTACACGCGACGTAGAAATCCCTTTTTTTCTGCTTGTTCGGGGGTTTTATTGTTTTTTTTTCTCCCCTCCCCCCCCCGCGACGCTCCCCGAGCCGCTGAAACAACAACTCCAGGCGGGCAGGGGCCGAGCACAGATTTAACTTCTATTCATATTTACAATACTTTACAAGCTATATTAAATAAATACGGGCCCTGCTGCACCCCGGCGCCTTAAATATGTACAACAAAATTCCTCGATTGTTTCTCGCCAGGCGCTGTCACCGCGGATCAGCTCACCGTAACGCGTGTCCCTGTGGTACGGGGCTAGTCAGCGCCACGACCGACCAGCCCTCGAAAAAACAATTCCTAGCCAAGGCAAGATACGGGTAGTAAATAACTTAATCCATTCTAACAAACTCAAGTCCTTAAATCTCAGTCTACGTTAGCTGTACAGCGGCAACTTCAGGTTTTTTTTCCTCGTGGTATCCAACGCCGTAAATAGCCAGCCCTTCTGGAAGCTCAGGGCTTTGCAGCTGAGGGGAGCGATACGTGGTCAGTAAAAATAATCTTTCAATGAAACTCCTTTACTTATTGACATGTTTAACTCTGTACTGGCTTTATCCGCGTAATCTGAAGGATTTAAGCACCAAAAAAGAACAACAGTCAGCCAGGATGATCAGTGTAGGCGTATTTAGGCTTTCCTTCAGGTACAACGTTTTCAAGTAACAGAATCCAAAGCTGTGCAACTAAGATGACAAAGGGGAGTCAATGTGCATCATACGGGAAAGGCTGTTCCTTGTTTTAAATGGCAGCATTTTTTCTATACCTTACTTGCAAAGGAATGGAATGTATTCTCATTTTTTAAGCTACTTTTCTTGTACAAAAATTGGATTAGAGTCAGCCCTGGCTAGCTTAGAAAACACATATATTGCCTCTCTGCCGGGAAGGATCATTTTCTACAGGAGGAGACACATTCCCCGGGGAAGGCAGCTTGTCACTCAGCCGGCAGTATCACTGAAACACCCCGTGGGCCAAACACGCCGCAGGACTGATATTTCACCCAAGCACCTGGCCAAGCCCCATTCTCTCTCGAGGTTACTGACTCTGGGACTCGAACAAACGCCCTGCAGGCCACTGTGTATAAAACACAGCTGCTTCGCAAACTCACACGCTGTGGCTTTCCACGGCTGGGCTCTGTGCCACAAGATACTCAGAATTTTGCCTGCCTGTCACAAACGCCATCATCGCTGGAGGCACCGAACCCGGTCTAGCCAACTCCACAAGCAGCGGAGCTCCCCTGCTACTGCCCAAAACACCCTCCAGGCAAGGACAGTGTCACCTCCACAGGCTCACACAAAAAGCTGCCATCGCCCGTCCTCCACCTCCTGTGCAGTCACGGAAAGTAGAAAAGGCTTCGGACACGGAGCGGTCAGCCTGGCATCCCCCACAAGCACCAGGACTAGACTTTGCTTAAAGCATAAGAAGCCTGTTCTGAAGTAATGCAGCGTATGCGTTGGTCCCACGCACTGGGAATCTGTCTGATGAAAAGCAACGTGCAAAAAGTATGTGCAATGGCACACGTAGCATGTTGGTGTCATTACCAGAACCCTGCTCAGAAGTCTGCGCAGTCACAGGAGTAGCTGCTCAGCTAAATGCTCCCGTACATAACCAGAGTAAATCACATGGGTAATTTGGACGCAGAACACCGGTCACCAACTCGAAAATCCAAATACTAAGGTTTCCACACCATAAAATGGTTTAAGAATAAAATGGCAGTGCACCTGGCTCGGTGGCACGAATCAGCAGGTATCACACCTAACAAGGGAAGAGATGCAAAGGTTAAGGAGGAGACGAGAAGCCCACCTGCACTATGGAGTGAGACCCCAGGCACAAGGCGTGTGTGGCCTCCTTCACTTCCAGGATTCTAAACCATTTTAAAAAAAGAGATACACATTTCACATCTATTTACAACATTACTGTGATACAATGCCTGATTGTGTAATATTACAGAAATACATGATGCCAGTACTGATTGTCCTAGTATATACTCTGTCACGATAAGGCAGTACAGCTACAAATTACTGAAAGCATCAAGCAAAGCTACTTGAACTGAGACACTGAAACTTTTCCCTTAAAGACTGGACAATATTCTGCTGATTAGGAGACGGTACTCTCCACAGGTAGTCGTTGAGTTTATCCGAGTCGCTGTATGCAGTCAGATAGGGGGTAAGCGCGTGTTTGCTGCTGGCGGGCTTTGCCGGAGTACAAGAGACAGTTTTGCCGCAGAGCGTTTCAGAAGGCGCAGCGTCTGCCTTATGCAGTTTAGGATCCAGTTTCCTTGTTTGGTTCTGAGAGGTCTCCAAGTCAGATCCCTCATCTTCAGACTTTATTTCAACATAGTCATCATCATCCCCTTCTTCAGTATCTTTGAAATTAGAAAAATAGTTCTGAGTGGCCATCTGTGCTGTCAGAGGGGAGGCCCTGTTCACTCTCAGGACCTTTTGAGAGTCCTGCAGAATCATATCCGAACAGTTTTCAGGGATCTGCTTTCTCGTATCAGGCCCCACACATCCCGAAGCAATACCTGGCATCTGATGGCTGTTGAATTGGGAGTTCCTATTCAAATGGAGCTTTTTCTTGTCCATTTCACTAGGATACACAATTGTTTCTCCAGACCTGTTGACCACAATTGAGGAAGACGACTGCGACCTGCTGTACGCCTGCGGCTTCACATTGCTTACTCTTCTCCCAAGGGAGTTATAGATGTGATCTTGATGTAAATTTTCTTTGTTCGGTTGGCTTACAATGGCGCTCCACCTCTGCGCCGGGACATGCAAACGGTTAGAAATCTGAAGGGAAGGCACCGAGCCAGCTGATGGCAGCTGCCTTGAACTGCTTTTCATGCCGGCTTCTGTATACGAGCTCGTGGACTTCGGATCTTGGGATTCAGGCCACGGAGAGAAGTCGGCCAGCTCGCCGTTACTGTATGTAGAGTGCAAAAGCCAATCCTCTGCTCTTGAGCATTCACTGGCAGCCTGGGGACGGGGAGGAGACGCGGCCATGGGAGTGGAATACCTCTCGGCTGATGGCTCCTGAGGGGTGGCCCAGGCTTCCTTCTGGACCTTGGGTGAACTTTCTCTAAAGACGATTTGGTCATAAAGCTGGGAATATTCAGCTATTCTGGCACCTAGAAAGGAGAGAGAATTAACTTAGCAGAGGAAGCAATCCATTCGAACGAGTCACGTGAAAACTTAAAAATCCCCAAGCACATTGTATTGGTCAAGAGAAAAGTTTACAGCTGTGCCAATATCTTCACAGAATCACAGCATGGTAGGGGTTGGAAGGGACCTCTGTGGGTCACCTGGTCCAAACCCCCTGCCGAAGCAGGGTCCCCTA